TACCCTGCCAAGAACTTTTAACTTGGAAGGAAAAGACTCAGGACAGGTGCTTAACATTTGTGAGAGATCCAGGGGCAAACTAAGTTTCAGTATAACTTCCTGCACTGCAGGTTAAACTGCTAGAGATTCTGTTCCATGTAAACCAGCAAAGAAAAGGAGAGAAATAAGAGTCAAATCCAGAAAATATATAGAACTCCATATGCTATTTCAGCTTCTAATACCCAGCATCGGTTTCTAGTTGAAGAGATAAAAATACAAAAATGGAAGGATTCAAGAATATAGTGTGAATGCAGCCAAGAGGAAGAGGACCTGACATATGGAGAACTTTTCCAAACAGCTAATAATTTTCTTAAAGAAATAGGGTTTAGTTCCCAGAGAGATTTCTGCAAACACTTTATAAACAAGATTGGATATTTTGTCAAATATTTGGGTTTAGTTTTTGAAAATTTAAAGAATATCCCAAAATGTGGGCCTAATCAAGATGCTAAAGATGAATTGATGTATAATACTCTTCACATGTGTTTATAGCAGATACAAGATTATTAATAACAAATACGTACCTTTTATGTTAATTCTTATGAAACAATTTTGAAGTATATTATGCTAGAATCACTGCTATATTAAAAATTCTAAACTTGGGATACATTTTAAATTTGAATAGATTAGCACCTTGGTAAAGGACTAGAGGTTGACAGATGAAGGGAATGTGAAGATACTTGTTGAGGTGGAAAAAAAACTGGGATTATAACATTTAAGTCTTGCTTCCAAGCAAGTACAAAAGTGCACCTTAGTAGTTTCATTATGCTAATGTTAGCAGTTGCTGAATTATGGCAGATGCACCTGAAATTGGCAAAATGGAAATAATGACATTTTTCACAAAATTCAATATTTTTATTTTACTATAGGTTAATGTCACCTTTTTGGCAAAAAATAGCATGATTCAACCAGATTGGCTTATGTGTCTCTGTATCTTAGAAACGGTAGTCACAAGGTTTTTCTAACTTATGCTTCTATCTTAGTCCATTTGGGCTGCTATAACAAAATCCTGTAAACCGGATGGCTTATAAACAGTAGGGATGTATTTCACACAGTTCTGGAGGCTGGGAAGTCCAAGATCCAGACACTGACAAATTCAGTGTTTCATGAAGGCTCACTTCCTGGTTCATAGGCAGTCATCTGTTCACTCAAACCTCATATGGCAAAAGGGGTGAGTGGTCTTTCTGTGATCTCTTTTATAAAGAGACTAATTCCAACCATGAGGACTCCACCCTCATGGTTCAGTAAATTCCCAGAGGCTTCTTATCCTAACACCATCCCTTTGTGGGCTCGGATTTCGACGTACAAATTTTAGGAGAACACAAAGATTTACCATAGTAAACCTCCTACTTCAGTGTTATCAAATCCTATTTAATTTCCATGGTAGAAGTTCTGAGAGATTTTGACCAACATATTCCATATCAAAACTAAATCTATTTGGGAAGGTACAATAAAAGTATTATCTCTATTGACCATACAGAAAGCAAATGAAAAATAAACCGATTTCTGAAGATAAAAGAGTGAATTTAGGAGATGCCATGAGGAACACAAGGAAGGACTTCTATGGGATGCTTACGGCTCTTGATATCTCTCTTTCTGTATTGTCCCCCGAGTTTCACTGGAAGATTTAGTTTATATTCCAAATCCAACTAAATATTTGCATGCATTCTCACAAGTGTATAGAATGCCTCAACCTAGTTCACAAGTATCTGTTACACTCGCAGGTGAACAAATGAGTCTGTATTAGTCATATTCATATGTTAGAGCAGAGTGGACTTGCAGAAGAGTCTTTACCCTCATCAGGGGACACAATAATGGCATTTATTCAAGGTATCTGGTAATTGCATTTATTCTAATATTTTCCAACTGAAGCAAAAAAATCGAAATGATAATTGAGAAAGCCTTCAAAGAAACCTTGTGCATTTTCATATTGGTGCCAAAGCAAGAGTTAAGAGAATGTAATCTGTGTTATTATGGGCATGGCAAATATATTATCGTGAGTATTGTTGGAATGAAGCTGAGAAGGGCACCCTAGAGTAAATTTGTATTAAACTTGTTTCAAATCTTGTTAAAATAACAAAAATAATCAAGATCTGTTTTGTTTTATACTTGAAGTATTATTTCAGGTTCACCTTAGATAATTAGCAAATACTCTTGAGGGAATTTTAAAATTATTATACTAGTTTATAATAGGAAAAGCATGCACATGATACAGAAAGTCTATTTTAAAACCATAGAAGAACATAAAATGGAAAGTAAGTTTTCCTCTAACCCCTGTCCTCTGACCACCCATTTACCCTCCAAAAGATAAGGACTGTTACTTGTTTTTGGTTACCCTTGTGGAAATGTTCTGTCCTTACATTAGTATATAATAGCCCTTTTTTGAACAAATGGTAATATAGTGCCACCTGGTCAGATACCTTGCATGTCATTTGACATAATGTCTTGGAGATGGCTCCATAGGAGTATATAGGGAACTGCTTCATTCTTTTCAGTGGTTGCTTTGGTTTCTGTTACTTTGAATGGATGTATCATAATTTATATAACCAGTCCCTCATTGATGAACATTTAGTACTATAAGTATCCTTATGTGTATATGTTATTTTGTACCTGTGCAATATATCAGTAGGATAAATTCTTACAGATGAAATTGCTAAGTCAAAGAGATTGTTCCTTTTCATTTTGATAAGATTTTGCCAAATTGCTATCCATACAGCTTTATTGCCTACAAAGAATTATGAGGGTAAAAATGATAATTATCAGAAAAATTATAGTAATTATCAGAAAAACCAATATTAATTATGTGACTACAAATGACCTATAGACCCCAGTCATAGTAATATGCAAGTTGATTCTTTAATGTTGATGACCTGGTATCTGCTACCTACTGTACTTTGAAGTAAATGAGCTTACCATTTCAAAAACATAGAGGTCCCATTTTTAACACTTAATTTAAATAACCTAACACAGTACTATTAATAGCTAACATTACCCAGGAGGCTGAGACAGGAGGATCACTTGAGCCCAGCAGTTCAAGACCAGCCTGGGCATCATAGCAAGACCCTGTCTCTAAAGAAATTAATCTTTTTGGCCAGGCACAGTGTCTCATGCCTGTAATCCCAGAATTTTGGGAAGCCTAGGCAGGCGGATCACAAAGTCAGGAGATCGAGACCATCCTGGCCAACGTGGTGAAATCCCATCTCTACTAAAAGTACAAAAATTAGCTGGGTGTGGTGGCACATGTCTGTAATCCCAGCTACTTGGGAGGCTGAGGCACGAGAATCACTTGAACCCAGGAGGCAGAGGTTGCAGTAAGCCGAGATTGCGCCATTGCACTCCAGCCTGGCAACAGAGCAAGACTCTGTTTTTAACACGGAGGGAAAATTAAAATTAATCTTTTTATTATTATTGTTAGTTAGATGTGGTGGCACATGCCTTTAGTCTCAGCTACTTGGGAAGCTGAGGCCAGAGGATCACTTGAGCCCAGGAGTTTGAGGCTTCAGGGAGCTGTGATCTCACTACTGCACTCCAGCCTAGGTGACAAAATAAAACACCATCTCTTTATAAAAAATAAAACAATTTCCTAGCATGTGTCAGGCATTGTTCTAAGTGGATTATGTATTTCAACTTAATTTTCACAAAGTCCTACAAGCAATTATAATTGTTTTCCCAATTTACAGGTGAGAAAACCAAGGCCTGAGATATTATGTATTTTGGCAGAGCCTAGTACCTTATAGGGCTAGACCCTAGCCCTATAAGTTATTTTGAAAAATCATGCTAAACACATGTATACACATGTATAATTTGTGTGTGTGTGTATATATATATATTTTTTTAATTGTACTTTAGATTCAGGGGTACATGTGCAGAACATGCAGGATTGTTGCATAGGTACATACATGGCAATGTGGTTTGCTGCCTCCATCCCCCCATCACCTATATCTGGCATTTCTCCCCATATTATTCCTCTCCAACATCCCCAACCCCAGCTGTCCCTCCCCTAGTTTCCCCGGCCACAGACCCTAGTGTGTGATGCTCCCCTTCCTGTGTCCATGTGTTCTCATCGTTCAACACCCACCTATAAGTGAAAACATGCGGCGTTTGATTTTCTGTTCATGTGTCAGTTTGCTGAGAATGATGGTTTCCAGATTCTTCCATGTCCCTACAAAGGATACGAACTCATCGTTTTTTTATGGCTGCATAGTATTCCATGGTGTATATGTGCCACATTTTCCTTGTCCAGTCTATCATCGATGGGCATTTGGGTTGGTTCCAGGTCTTTGCTATTTTAAACAGTGCTGCAATTAACATACGTGTGCTTAAGTTGGTATTCACATTCTCATTGCAAATAATCCTTCTCTTTGTTGTATCTTTTTGTGCTTGCAAACCTGCCTTTTACAGATGAGGCAAATTAAAACAAAGTTGTTGGTTTGTTTTGTTTTGTCCTGAGATACCTGGAAAATTAGAAACCAAGTTGAAATGGTGTTTTATGACAATCCCAGGTATGATAAATAAATGTATAGCAATTTTTCATTTTTCATTTTAAGTTGATGACCCTCAAGTTGTTTCAGAAAGGTGTCCAAGAAGCTCCTAAGAAACCTTTATAATAATGTTAAAGTGTTTTTTATAAAAAAACAATAACTTCCTGTGGTTCTTTCAGTAAGCTCTCATGACACTTTTTATCTGCAGGCTGTATTCTCCTGTGTCTTGACATGCAGGCTTAGGTGAAATATTGTGGGCATAAAAATTGCATTTGGTAGGTCTGCAAGGAAGGGGTCATGTAAAAGTCATCTTTGATTTGTTAATGGAATTTTTTTTTTTTTAGATGTAGTATATGGCAATAGTGATGTGCATCCTAAGGGAAAAAACTGTCTATTTTATAAAGGTTTATTTTCATATTTATAAACTGTAGTTCTGTTGTGTGTTTTTGATTTAGTAACAATTCATGTGTTTTTCTGTCACAGAGCACTGCAGCCTGTGGTGTTGAGGCTCACAGCAATGCCATCCAGCCCTGCCACATCAGAGAGGCCATTCGACGCTACAGCCACAAGATTGGCCCACTTTCCCCATTCACAGTACGTAATAACAGAGTTATAAAAAGTTATATTTATAATATGAAAGAATTTTGATTTTCAAGTGGTCAAATGAAGAAGCAATGGAATTGTTGAAAGCAATTTGTGGTGACTGTAATTTTGTTGTATAAAAGTGGCATAATTCTCTTGGGAAGTAAAAGTCATTTTCGTCTCTTTGGAAGGACACTTTTTTCCCTACAAAATATTATTTTCTTTCAATTACAAATTAAGTTTTTTTGTTGTTGAGGCTTATAGTTTCTGTTTTTCAAAGCTTCAGTTTATAAAATGTTATTCTCAAATTATATGTATCCAAATATTGCTAGAAGCCCTTTATATTTTAAAATTGGTTAGATTAGCATTACCACTTCTATCAGATATCCTTCTCCTAAACATACTTTTAGTTGGAAGAAGAAGAGATATTTCTTTACCGGCTTTGAACTAGGCTGAAATGCGGACAGCCTTTTACATCTTCAAATGATTTGAAAACTTATAATCAGGGTTTTGTGTTGTTTTAATGGGGAATTAAAGACCTGATATTTCAGCAGCCTAAAGAAAATGTGTGCAGGTGTGTGTGTTTTAATTAAATGCTCATTTTGTGGCCCTTTAAAAGAAAAAAAGCCTTATTTGTGTTAAGAGAAGTTTCTTCAAGTCCTACTCTGTTTATAAGGAACTAGTTCAACAGAAAGTAAAGTTTGATATATATAACTGAGGAACAGTGAGATTTACTTTTTTGATATTGTGTTTTAACCTGCTAATGAAAAGGTATAATATTATACATAAACAAATGAGTAAATAAATTAAAAGTATTACATCGTATATGTTTTTACCTAAAAATGGATTTTACTTTTCATAAAAGCCATTATTTTGTCTATATTATCTTTTTTCCTTATGTTAAGAGAATGCTTTCTTTTCATTCGTTGTTTTTATTAGTTGTTAATCCTGTAGATAGATTCTCTGCATTTTACTTTTCATAAATGCCATGATTTTGTCTATATTATCTTTTTTCCTTATGTTAAGAGAATGCTTTCTTTTCATTCCTTGTTTTTATTAGTTGTTGTTAATTCTGTAGATAGATTCTCTGCATAAGAGCAAGAACATGCTTTATAAATACATCAGAAGCTCTGTGATGGTGATACTTTTCACTTTTAATATTTAAAGTTTATCTTGTATAAGAACATGATTTTAATATTGCTGATTAAAGCAATATGCCCTTTTGCATGAATGTTATTAGAGTCTTATAATTTGAAAGAAATAGCTAAATCAAGTTTCTTTTACATAATGGGTGAAGCTGTTTTAAATGATAGGCCAAAGGGAAGATGAATATGAAAAATTATGAATGAGAAAAATAAGAGATAATTGGAAGTAAGAAGTTAAAAACCGACTGAATTTGAAAAAAACAACTTATAATGAAAGATTGAAAATATCAAATCCATAGTTGCCAATCAAATAATGACAAAAGGTTGAGACAATGGAAGAGAAAGGAAGAAAAGACAGTGCTTGATAATAATCTAGAAGCAATTAAAAGATAGCAAAGAGAAACACGATTTTTGAGAAGTAACCTAAAATGGTAACTAAAAGTAATAAATAAAATTACGTAAAGGAAAATGTATCCAGTACAAGGAGAAAACCTCCTAATCATGAAGTCTGCGTTATTTCCTCAAAAAGTAGTAGCAGCTGCTTCACTCTTCAAATTTTTTGTTTTTAAAAAGACTGATCACTTGAGAACCATCTTGGTTAATGACATTATTTACATACATGTGTGTATGTACATCTTTTCTCCACATCCAACCTGGTACTTAATGTATTACTGCTTTTACAATCTAAGACTGTAGTATTAACATATGATCAAAAATGTACTTTAAGCTAGGTTCAGCTATTGCCTAAGCTAATTTTTATTCAGTAAACATAAAGAATGGGCTTTTTTAAACTGATGACACAATTTTCAAATGTTTAATTTAAATACATCTGGAAAATAAAACAAGCCATGACCTGAAAGTTTCCGTTAGCCACTAGTAGAACAATCAAACAAAATCAATGCAGATGGTAACAAACTCGACCCCAAGGGGCACCCAAGGTGTTATCGCGCCTCAGAAAGGACCCCGACTTGGAAAGGTCTGCTCCATCATCTACAGCTATGAGAATTTGCCCAGACTACAAGAGTGAATATGCCTGCACCTTTTTTTTTTTTTGAGACAGAGCCTTGCTCTGTTGCCCAGGCTGGAGTGCAGTAGTGCGATCTCAGCTCGCTGCAACTTCCGCCTCCCAGGTTCAAGCAATTCTCCCTGCCTCAGCCTCCTGAGTAGCTACAATTACAGGCACCTGCCACCACACCCAGCTAATTTTTGTAATTTTTAGTAGAGATGGGGTTTCGCCATGTTGGCCAGGCTGGTCTTAAACTCCTGACCTCAGGTGATCCACCCACCTCAGCCTCCCAAAGTACTAGGATTACAGCTATGAGCCACTGCGCCTGGTCTGCCTACACTATTTTATATCAGGAATAGCATGACCGGGGTGTCACAGTTTTATGGTATATATTATAATACATAAGTCTACCTTTAGAGTTAAACATTCTCTTTAAAATGGGATGGATTTGTAGACTGTGTTGCGTCAATAATGTGGCCATCCTGTATTGGCTCCTACAAACCTCCAGCTGCTAAAAAAAAAAAAAAAAAAAAAAAAAAAAAGAGCTCATGGTACAGACTTACCATGGTTAGGGATGCTGATGTCCAGTTCCCTAAGGCCCACTCTGAGGAACTGACATGGTACTTGGTATTTTAAGCTGCACTGGGGACACGTTGCCACCTAAGCTTTGAGCTGCAGCTTCTAACAGTAGACAAGACATGTGGGCTGCCTCTGTAGTAATCATAGATTGACACCTATCTTTTCATACAGAAAGGCTGAACTGACTTGCCTCCAATGTAAAATGTCCTTAGTAAATTAAAATGCCAGTGAACAACTAGTTTATATTTATGAAGCACAGAGACTTTATCTTCATAGCATGTCATTCTGAATCTAGAGTGATTGGTACATATTTAAATGTAACATCTAATTTAGAATACCCATAACAATGTGTATATATCCAGTTTCCAATAATTTGATATTGTTAAGAGTTTACATGGAAACGTAATTCAAATAGCATATTTAAAAATCTGCTTTTGTGAGTCATCTTTCTGTCTACTATATGACTTCTGAAATAATTTTATACCAAATAACAAGATCAATTTCAGGCATATAATTCTTTATATAAAGAATTGTAAGTGAATTTTTCGCCTTAGGAATTGTTTAAAATGATAGAAGAAAGGAATACTTAAAGCCATGTTAGCTGGAGAAGAGGGAAAAGAGTACAAACAATGGTTTCAATTGTAGTAGCTCCTGGGGTAGGAAATACACAGGGAGAATGGCATAAACATCAATCACCTGCCACATACCTGTGAACACCACATTCTCGAGTTCTGTGGAGACACATCCATCCCCACTCCGCAGTTAACAACAGTACTCTCTTTGGCATATTGGTTATCATTGGTGATTTGTTTCTTTTCTGTATTCTCATTTATTCTCAATCCTGTATGGAAGATAAGAGAAGGTATCATACCTTCTTAAGAAATTTTCCTAAGTCAAACTATTAATTGGACTAAATTAAATTAAACCAGAGCTAAGATTCAGGCCTTCCAACCCATACCTTCAAACTCTTTCTCCTGATATACACACTTTTGCAGCTGTCCGCACCCTACCTCACTTTCTGTTTACACACTCTAAAGAACCTTTACAGAAACTAATTTTACTTTTTGGCTTCTTGTTTATTTTTCTTAAGTAATTCTAAACATCACTTCAGATTCTCTGATCTGCAGTATTCTTGAGTGCTTTTGCAACCTAGAACATCCTAAGTGATTTTGATGCTTGCCATCTTATATTGTTTTTATTCATAGTAGTTCATAATATGTGAAGTTATATTGTGTGGTGATTAAGAATTTTGGTCCTGGAGCTAAATGGCCAGGATCCAGATACCAGCTTTGCCATCTACAAGATGAGTAGCCTTACACAGGTTTCTTCACTTCTTTATGGCTGTTTCCCCATCTCTAAAGTGAGGATATTAGATTATACTTCATGATAGGATTTAAGAAGAACCGTGAACTTAATTAACATGTAAGAGTGCTTAACAAATTATGTTAGTAATATTGGAAGTCATAGTAGCTATGGTATATTTTTTAAGAGAGAAATAACACAAAGTAAGTGGAAACCATTCCACTCAACTACACTCAAATGCGCATACCCATGCACACACATATGTGCACACAGAGGCTATGTGGCCTTACTCTATAATCCTAGAAAAAACTAAAAATTTAAATAATAATGTGTTTCGTTTATGGACTAATAGTTTATACCATTAAAATTTGAATACCATTTAAATATCATTGTTACTAAAAATAAATGTTTATTTTTACTTTTTGGATTAATAATGGTTAAAGAACATTATTGCTTTTTTTAATCACTAAACATCATAAATAAGTCTTAGCAACTGAGTGTATATAGTTACCACCCGATTTTTTGCATGCCAGCTAGATTTTGCATACCAGCTTTCTGGAACAGAAATCTAAAGAACAAAAAATGGGTGACCTCATTTATAAAGTTTCTTCAATTTCGGTGTTTGTGACTTGACATATTTGTATAAGTTATTGAAAAGGTTTTCAGAAGTTGATGAATATATCAAAGTTAATACATTTTTTAATTGCTGGGCTTATTTTTCTCAACTTTTAAAGTTTCTTCAGCTTACTGATTATGAAAGAAATGCTAATATGTTAGAAAATTATGAAGACAGAGAAAGGCAAAGCAAAGAATAAAACTTACATCCTGGAGATAACTACTGTTAATATATCATTACCTTTCATTCTCCCTTTTTTCTTTGTATATGCATATTAATAATTTAGCAAAATGGAGATTAGTCTGATACTGCTACTTAACATTTTATAGTATATTATGTAGTCTTTAACACATGATTTTAATAG